TTCGCTCTTTTTTTTTCTCTCCGGTTGGTGGGGAGCTTGAGGAGGTACTGGCGGGGGTGGGGCCAGACGTGCAACCACTGGGTGACCCAGTGGTCGTTCTCGAAGACGCGGATGGCACTCACGGAGTCCTGGAGCTCCGGAGGGACCGAGTGCGCGTAGAGGGTGAGTTTGGGCCTACCGGCTTGCTTTGGCCTCCCGGTGGCTGTGGTTCCGTCAGCGTCGTCGGGGTCCTCCTTGTCCTGGCCCTCCTCGCCGAGTTGGAAGCGCAGCGACTGCTCCTCTTCGAGGTCGGAGGCGAGTTCGGAGTCGAGCTCGTAGAAGGCCGAGGAGAGTCGGGGCGCGGCGGTGCCGGGGAACAAAAAGTACGGGTACATGCTGGTCGGGGTCAACCAGAGCTCCTGGTAATTTGGGTCTGCCTCGTGGCTGTTGCCGTTTTGTTGGTGGATGTTGTGATGATGATGGTGGTGGTGGTGGTGGGTTTGTTCGAATGGGTGGAGGGCAGAGTCCGTGCCCGAGAGGTCGACGGACGAGGACTGATACTCTGAAACAACACAAGCAGAGGTTGCCGCCCGTAATCGAGTGCCACTTTTTTTCGCTTCTCTCGTACTGTTTCTGAGTCTGCGTATCTATGTGTTTGCGTATGACATGTGTTTGGATGAACTCTGATTCTGAGACATCTGTCTTTAGGTATGTGAGTGGATGACAATTTTCATCTTTAATCTTGAAATAGTGATGTAATGTACACAATACTGATGTTGTTATGACGTTATTTTTTTGAGGATCACGATAATGTAGAACAAAGAAGAGGGGGTGAGGTCGATTGATCGAAGGATTATATTTATTATAGGGTGATAGTTAAAAAGTTTTAAGTTTTTCGAAAAACTACTCCTTAGTTGCTCTCAAAAGTAATCTCAATATTTTTAAAGTTGTTTGCCATGTACGAAACGTGAACTGATTTTCTAATACATTATAGAAGATGACCAATTACGAATGACATATTGTTTTCACTCCACTTAAGAGAATCGTGTACAGAGAAGATTCTACAAAAAAATCACTAAACAACTGATACAATCATGTACGCGTATGGTGAAAGACCAATCATTTGGCATACAATATGACAGTTGAAAGTAACCTTGGTAAAAAAGAGCTGTAAAAAACGAAAAATTTGGACTGATGGTCCCAGCGGGCTTTGGTGTAAGTAGAAAAGTACAAAAAATAAGAGAACTGATATCTTCCAGAAAATTAGTTTCTCTGTACGGGGACTACAACTAGAACTGCATGTTCGTACGTCACAAGACGTGGAAAGGTGTGGAAGGGGAAAAGTTAAGAAGTACATCCACTGTGGACTACTGGGAGCCGTGGGTACACGAGTATTCCGGGAAATAAGTGAGCAGAGCACGGAAGAGAGAACACACGTGCAGTACAGCTCACGTGACTTGCTCTGCAGGCAGTAATTCCTCCTCGACTTTCTCGAAATGTGGATGTAAGAAGGACTACCTCTTGCCCTTGTGTATATGGGGGCGAGTGCAGACAACACGTACGTGTGCATAAAGCAGCCGAGCACTCGCTCCTCTTCTCCTCTCACCCATGAATTTTGCATCCCGGCAAACGTTGCGCTTCGTTTATCCGCCCCACGTGCGAGACTTTTCTCCTTCGCGCCTCCGTCACTTGCTCCTCGACGCGTTCGGCTGTTGAGTTTTCCTTCCCTTCTCGCCTCCTCTGCTTCCCTGTTTGCCTTCACCCTTCGACTTTTCGAACCAGAGGCTGTGCGAACGAAATCGCCACTTCGAGTAGGTAAGCTCCACTGATTTTATAAACAACGTGTCTGTCCTCGTACCACACCTGACTGACTCGTTACACCACTCACTTGTGATGCGATAATCAAAGTAATTCTATTTCCATGTCCTGCACCGTGAAAAGGGGCAATTTTATTTGCTCCAGTTGACGCGCCTCCTTACGTTCCTTTTAGGAGTACAAACAACAAAGTTTTGGCGGAAGCAAAGGTTGAGGTTGGAAAGTCTGGATTTTTTTGAGACTATCTGCAATGGTCTCGTATATTTTCCGAAAATATTTCACGTCGATAAACGTTATTAACAAAAAGGGCAGATGTGAAGGATTTTGGTTGTGGTAGTGGTGATAGTAACAAATTCTGTAAGGGTTGAAATATCAGGTACATGTAAAAGAACCAGTTGTTGCATGGGTATGTGAAATAGAATCAGAGTGAGTCAATAATTTGTGTGGAACTAAATGAAAATAAAAATAAATTTATATCACAGTGGTGGAAAACCACATACTTACGAGATCGAGATTTAAAAAATAAATGCCATATACGACCAAATAAACAAAAAGTGCGATAGACAGAACAATAATAATAATATACTGCTGAAAAAAGCACATCTAAGGCGTTAAAAAGAAACAGTACATACAGAATTTCATCACTAGTGCAGTATGTATAATATGGACATGCATACATATAGAGGTACATCACACAAATGACTTGCTAATGGCATGCGGTGCTATAGGTTTCGGCCCAACCGCGTTAGCTTATTGTCCTCGACCCTTTCCCTTTACCTCCATATACTCACCACGAGAAAAGCAGGTACGCCCTACAGCAGTGAAGGAGTGGAAAGTGATACCAAAGTTGTAATACAATCTCGTCGGCCTTCGCCTTCCATCGCCCTCCTCCTTTTCCCATTTGCTCTTTACTGCACCCCCTCGTGCTTGTTTTGCCACATGCTCCCAATTGATCAGCCAGTCCGCACCTCCTCGATAAACCCACTATCCTAAACCTCCTCACCGTCCATTACCACTACTTCCTTTACTACTTAGCTTCACGTCGAGTATGTCCATTAATTTACTCGCCAAAATTGTAACAGCACTTGATATTCTTACCCGTCCTCATCCCGAATAAGACGTCATTTCAATCAATATAGAATATTGATTGTACCTTGGGTTGTGTGAACTATGTGAGTGTCATTATTTTACCAGAAAAAGCCATAGACATAATTAGTAAGTATAGTCAGAACAAGAGCCCTAGCTGGTTGGCTGAAAAAAAGATAAAGAGAGACTGTTTTGGGAAGATCTTGCCTTCTCTGTTTCACTTTGAAAAAGAGAAAAATTGATTGGCAGTGTATTTCTATGTATAGATACACATGATTTAGAAATACTGGTTCAATCAGAGCTTTCGATTTTCTCCTCGATCACACAGTTGGAGGTATTCTCCCAAAGCAGTCTCTCTCTCTCTTTATAATATTCGGCTATCAGTTGAGGCTCATTTTCGAGCTATCCTTACAATATCTGTGAATAAATTTCTTAATAGCACAATACAATTTTATATTGAAAAAAAAATCTAAATATTTCTGATCACTATATACGCCTTATACACTGAGATTCAAATACGAAAGTCTGCCGTTCAATCGCATGAAAAATATTAGTAAGTGTGAAAACAGTGGTCAAAGAATAATACGTTTGCAAAGAAATAATTTTGACCATCACAAAGTATGGTACCGAAATTATAAATCACAAATTCAAAAAAATTTCAATGTTAGAAAAACCATGTATATTGATAGTATTTTGGACTGCTGTACCGGTATGATTTCTGCGTCAATGAAGTTTACATTGTTGTTTTGTCTTTAATCAATTTTGACGTGGCATCAAAAGCGGTGAGTCGAAGGATCTACTCTGAAAGTATTTAATACATGGGGTACTCCTGATCGTACTCAACAGAAACAAAGGATTAAAAAAAAAAAATAATCGATTTAAAATCAACCTAATGCCTTAAATCAACAAGAACAGGCTCGTGTGCAAACGCAAGAGGATACTGTACAACGGGAGGAGTGACAATAGAGAGAGAGCAAGGTACACTTATCTCTCTCCTCCCACCCTTTCATCGCAGCTAGTTAGCCGCGAGATATTCCGGAGTTGGTAACCACCAGCGGGAGTATTTCTGTCGGATAATAAGAGCCGTATAAACTCCGGCGGTGGTACGAGAGTGCACTTGTGGCGCCGACCTCCCACAACCCTTTTATACCCCTCAGTTCATGAGCACGCGATGGTTGACTCGACACTTTTGTGCTCTACGCGCACTTTGTTTTTATTTTTTTATTATTTTTTTTTAAGGGTGCACGTGTATGCATATGCAATTGTGTACGTTTCATTTAGTATAACTTTCGTGTTTTGGAAATATATAATTTTGAGAAAAAAATTAAAAGGCAGCCTTTGTAAGTTGAACTCGATCGTTACGACAATCCTTAGAGTATTGCATGTCATTGGTACAATTAAGTCGCTTCCGATTGACATTTTGTACGCTTGACAGTTACAAGTACGGATTACAAGGAGAGGAAATTTAAATTGTCAATTTGATAAATTAAATATTTCGAACGTTATTTTAATAATTTAACTAGATTTTTTTGTTATAAAATCATTACGCAAAGAAAGTTTTGATGTGACATTTGAAATATTGGCATTGTTTGTGTAAAATAATTTAGTTAATTTATTTTTACTAAATTGGACTATTTTTGTATCGAAAAAAAAAATTTTGCACCAGAGAACAGCTATATCTCGATAGAGTATACAGTTAATTTGTTTTAATATTTTTTCCACGCAAAACGTGCGAAACAAAACAACAAAAACCTGGAATTACACGTTTCGCGCAACATTTACAGCAAAGTTACTTTAGCGAGAACAAACATCGGCGTTTCTACTGTCGTTGCTCAAGACCGAACAAAAAGTATCTAGTCAATATTGGTACGTCGACGGTATTAATTATGCAGAGCCTCAATAACGTGCCCCCTGACTATTGAACCGCGCGTGATTGAACTAATTAATTAATTAGCTGGAACACACTGCGGTGAGTATCGATTTCATCAACACAAGTGGAATGACTCTGTTCTGCGAACACGTGCCTAATCCGAGTCTCCATACGTATGTGCCTCCGATAGCGGGCCCACAGTACTATCAATGGGATGAGAAAAAACAACCCTCGAGTCGTCACCCCGCTTTTCCAATTCACCGCGCGATCAGCTCAAAAGCTGATTCTTTGGAAATTTGCTTTTGTGGCCTGACCGACCAGAATAACGAGAGATCAAAGCTTGCGTCTGGTGTACCGGACTATGTGTGCTCGAGGAACACATGCGGGTGACGCGCAAACGTCTTGGACCCCTACCACGAGGAAGTTTGCACGTGCGAGTCCTCCTTTCCACATTTATCATTCCGTGCTTTCAAAACAATGGGTTTTTTCTATTAGCCAAATTTTCGCAGCGATACCATCAAGTATCAAACTGTACATTGGCTACCCTTAAAACTGAGACATGTGACTCTTACTTTTACTAAATTAGGCGGGTCTCGGCCCTAAGAGTACCCATACCCAACGTAAACACCAGGTATTTTGTGTTGAAGTCAGTTTAAAAATTTACTCAAACATCAAGAGCTGCAGGCAAAAATCGCTGCGATTGACGTCCTTTGTACCCCCCCCACCCCAATTTCTTTTCATTTCTTCCTCCGGGTTTTCTCAAAGCTGACGTATGCACACAAAGCCAGCGAGTTCAATTTTCCCGATCAGCAGTCGCCTGTAGCAATTTTAGAGGAACCATCGCGAGCTTAGCTTTTGCATGATGGATTCGGGTGTTTCTCGAAGGAGCATATCAAGGCAAAAGGAGGCCAGCAATTTATCCTCGGCCTCTTTGCTGCCGGCGGCCAGGGACCAAAGTTTTTTTTTTTTGTTTGAGAAATTCGGCATTTTAATTAACATCAACATTTATTTCACTTTACGGTAAATCACAGCCTGATTGGACAGATTTTGTACAAAAATGTACAGCGGAAGTTGTCAACTGTACAAAAGTGTTTCCAGTACACATACGATATTAAATTTATCGTAGTTTAATGAAGTGGATCGCGGATTAACTTTAGTTTAATGAAAATAAGTACATGCACATCCGGGACAAAGAAATTCGTAAATGAAATCAGCACTGTCTGGCCAATGAACTTTTTTTTTCATAAAACAGTTGGATAAAAAAACGGGCGCACTGAAAGCTCTAATTTTTTCGAGCTCGATCGCGCAAAGAGCCGTAAAATTTAATAACACGCTCGGACAGCCATGGTGATGGGGACGTTAATCTTGTGAGATACGGAAGAAAGGCACGGGAAATCAAAGGAGGAAGAGGTCGACGGTGGAGGGAGCGAAAAAAACAGGGGAGGCGCTCGAGAGCGAAATGAATTATTAGGTCTCAGCAGCGACGACGCGAGCTACAACGTTCGGGGTGAGGGGGATGGGGGTCGGTAATTAACGGAGGACGCGGAAATTAAGGTCGAGCCGATAAAGTTATTGCACCTGTCCCGTTCCCGTGTACGTCGCGATGTAGGCCTAGTACTAATTAAGCAGTGAACTGCTCCTTTGTATATTACGCGTTTGTGTGCTCTGCTGCGCTACTTCTAAATCATTCCTACGACCCTGGGATGAAAATAATGAAGTTTTTCTTGTACGAGCTAGAAATATGAAAGATCGTAATTTTCTTAAACAGCAGCAGTTTCAGCCTCTACTTGTTTTGCACTGGAAAATCAATCTATGAGTTTCCTGGTTTAAAGTTTAATTTTATTTACGTCGCACAGCTTTTTTTGTATCGTGATTAATTTAATGCAACCTTTGAGGTGACTAATCAATTTTCACTGGATTTTTCAAAGTGAGGATTAAAAATTAAATATAACTCTTATTGGTTTTTTTTTCCATAAATTACAGTACACATAGAATGTGGAAGCTGATGAAAAAATCTTTAAACAAAAAAAAAAAAAAAAATATTGTACGTAATGTACACTTGGGGTAAAAAAAATTATCCAACAAATGAAAACACCTACAATCGGCTTGTCCAACTGATTTACAAAAATGACAATCAACAAAATACGTAAAATGTAAAAAAGTAAATCACATAATATAAACGCAACAGCTAATAACTGTATTTGCAAGCAATTATGAAAATATTGCAAAGAAATAATATCCCGTACCATAAAATCTACAGACGTATGATTAAACAGACGTACGCAATAAAACAAAAATATGAGATTAATAAAAAAGTAATCAAGCCTATACAAAGATAAATGGCAATACTCTACGCACATATTGATTCCATACATGGCACATTGATTTCGAGACATAAGAGACCAAAGAGACAATTAAAAATCGCAATTACAGCCTGTTACCAACATAAAAAAAAATTTGACAAAAATAAAATGACACAATAAATCTAGCAAAATTTCAAGCGCAAAATCTCGACTCTCGTGTACGTACGTACGCGAGAGTTCAACGCGCACAATTGACACACACACGTACACACAAATCGCTACAGCTCGTGTCTGTTGACGCCCAGCTATTTTCGCTGAGGTGTTGCTGCTGCTGTAAGCGGAGGTTAAAAAAAGAAAAGCAACGAGGACATTTATATACTCACCGACGCAGGGATTGTGATTGACCATCGAGAAAATTCGGTCGCAACGCTTCTTCGCCTGGTTGTCCGGGCAAATGCAGCCAAACATGGGGGAGAGCCGCAACTGCGTCCAGGCCTCGTGACACGCGTCCCTGTAACAGATCATTTAAAAAAGTAACGTTTATTTCTGACCCCATAATATAAATAACCATAAATCCAAACTTTTTTGAAATGACAATATTTTGTGATTAATTCGAGAACTTTAGCTATTCTAGAAAACTTCACCTCTGCTATACTAAATAAAAATTAGTCAGTTGCACTAAAATTGACTTACGAAATTGGCAAACAATACGATGAGCTGTTTTACGGATGCAAAATCAATAAATGAATGAAAGTGCAACGTCTGCGGGGAAAAGGACCATTATCGGGACTGCACAGATAAAGTTGGGCCATCGAAGGGGAGGTGCACTTTGGCGTACAATAGCCTCCCTCTGTTGCCTCGTAAGCTCAGGCTCGTTACACCATACTGTTGTTGCTGTTGTTGTTCGAGGAAGGGGTGAAAATCCCACGTCAAACAGTGGGTACACGCACATGCGATTGTAGCTGACGCTGCTCTGTTTGCTCGGGCCTATTTGCCACTGCGTCCCTGTTTTGTTTGATTAGTGCGCAAGGGGTGACGCGGACAAATGCGAGAAGTGATTTTTGTTTTTGTTTGTCCACTTGCCACCGTTGGTCTGTGCTCTGTTGCTCATTTCATGTACTGCGCGAGTGAATGATTGAACGATCGAGCGATTCCCATCTGGAATTTTTGTTTGAACGAGCAATCATATCTCTGTGAGAATGTGTTACGAGGGAAAGTGACATTTTTCTCATCAGAATCATTGTGATTCTGGTCATTTGTTTTCTCATACCCTCGCGTATCTCGGAGATAGTAATTTTTAAATTTGCAGTGCAAAGAAAAAAAACGAAAATAAAAAGTATAGGTTCATGTGTACACGAGAGGAGAGGAACGACAAAGGTGTGACGAGGATTTTTCTAGCCGATAAATAGCCGTCCCGGATCCCCTCACAAAACTCTCACTAAATTTCTTACCATGTCCCTACACTCTGGATACCTCTCCTCCGACCAGAATTGAAACGAATAATCGTTGCAGCGTTACTCATACATGGTCTGCCTCCTCCTGAATATTTAACAAAAAATCAACATCGACACTTTCACCCTCATTCATTGGGGGTGATTTTTTTTTTTTTTTTGCGTCCTGTCTCTTGTATAGGACACAGAAAGCAAGTGCTTCCTCTTTTTCATGGACAAACAGATTTTTTTATTTTTGGACGTCCAGTCAAAAGATATGTATAGGACATACCTCCTCGCATACGAAGTACCATTGCTCTTGAATAATTTATTTCAGCTATCGACCAAAGCCCAAATTAACGTGTACGTAATTTACCTACTGAACTGAAAATCGCTGCGATTGACGTCCTTTGTACCCCCCCCACCCCAATTTCTTTTCATTTCTTCCTCCGGGTTTTCTCAAAGCTGACGTATGCACACAAAGCCNTTTTTATTTTTGTACGTCTAGTCAAAAAGGATGTATAGGATACATCTCCTACAAATAATTATTTCCGCTATCGACCAAAGTGGATAGCAGAAGCCCAAATTAACGTATACGTAATTAACCTACTAAACTGTACTTGAAAACCCCATCACCGCTATTGAAATGACTAATTAGCTCCAAGCAATACTTCATTGAAAAAAAAATCTTCAATCGAACCATCGATCACAGAAGGGGTATGCCGTTAGGAGAGGGATCCTGAAAGCGCCTCCCGGCGTCTGGAATATACATATATAGGGAATAGCGCGAAGTTGGCGTATCGGCTTACCCCCGCGAGTGGTGGCTCCGACAGCGATATTACGCGATCCCACGCACGCACGTGTGCAACCGGAAGGAGGTGGAGGGAAGGCAAATACATATCTCGGCAATTATCAGCAGCAGCCCCAGACGTTCAGAGTCGGGCTCCTTTGCGTCACGCGACGTATATAAGGTACTCTTTTGTCTGGAAAGACATTATAAATGGCCGATAGCGTGTGCGTTTGCAGGGAGACTGAATATCGCTGGTGTGGATGTACACCTACTATCGAGGCTTGCAAAAGGGGCTGGAAAAGGTTCGCTTCTCCCCTTCGGGGAACGAAAACTGTGTAGTACAACTCGGCGTATATTAAACGTCACTAACAATCCTCGGTGTGTGCAGTGTGTGCTTGTATATGTACACAGATGCACGCGTGTCTCTGTTTTTCCAGTCAGTAGCTGCTACTGCCGCTGAAGAAGGATCGGGAATTCGTTTCCTGAAGCAGTAAAAGGGTTGGTTGTGGGTGGCAAGGGGGGGAAGAACGTGAAGGTGCAAAATTAAAATAATTTATCACGCGGCCCCCGGAAAAGAAAAAAGTGGGAGGGGATCAGGTAGTTTATGCCTAACTCGCGTACGTGGAACAACTGGCGCCTTGCACTCGAAATTCTTCTCCTTCCCGTGTAATAAATTCTCGCTTCCAAGAATTTCGAGCTACTTTGCAACGAAAATAATACAATCGGACAATGGTCTCTTTGCCGATTGGTCAAATAAAACGAATCATTTAAAAAGTATGTATTTATTCAAATAATATGTTTGCATTTTTAATTTTTAAGAAAATCTAACGTCAGTGATACACCTAATCCAAAATCATTTTGCAGGATTTTTTATTTTAAAAATTATATCCATCATATATTACATTGAAAGTGAGTCAACTTGATAAGGTGCACGCTAGTTGCTTCACACATCAATATATTTATAAGGTTGAGGCCGAAAGCTCTTTCTTATCAAGAAGTTTTTCATAATTCAAGTACGCCTCGTATAGTCTAACTAATATTGTACAAAGTACATGAGAATTTGACGACGAAAATAGTTACTATTTCAATACTTTTTAAGATAAAAAGGGAGTTTTCGAAGAGGAATGTTATCAATATCTCAGCTCGTAGCTTGTGGCTTCTCTTCCCTTTCCAGCCTTTTCTGAAAAAAGCTCAGTCGACCTGTCGACGGGAACCAGCCAACTAAGAGCAAAAGGGCACCGTGAGGCTGCTACCACTATCTATTTGTATCTTCTGCACGTGATGTTCGCACCCGTATACCATCACCCCGTGCGTTTCTATACAGCAGCTGTTCCTGATTTTCGCTAAATTGATCGTACGAAAGACGTGAGCTTGTACGGCCCGGGGCGTCCTCCCGTACATACTATGTATACATATCTATAGGTGTAAAAGCAAAAAATATCTCAGGAAAATTTCGGAGCTACCTCGCGGTGTCTCTTACAATCGTGAAATAACTATATTTTCGGCTTGTCATTTTATGGACCGTAAAGAATACAAGATATTGATTTGCGAGTCGTTTATTATCGGCGTGTAGCTGCATGCGGGGATAAAGAATTTCATAGAAATGGCATACGCTTTTTTTATCCCCCACGTGACGTTTGATACATTATGTTTCAATTTTTTCCACGAAGCACAAAAATGAGATTTTTCGGGGTTGACGTCGACGTCAAAGCTTACATAAAACTATATGCACTGGTGCATCTTGATTCACACTGTGTGTGTTATTTTCTATACAAGTTTTCGTGGGGCGAAAATATGAAGTCGTATTCGACTTGACGGGACATACAGTTTTCTTGCACCAGCAATCGAGCAGTAACGATAACACCTCCTCGCTGTTTTAAGTAAAAAAAAGTTGGGGGGTGGAGAGAGCTTGACACACCCCCAGCGAGTCGCGAAAAAGTGTCGCTCACTTGGGGCGAAAACAAAAGGACCAGACGAGGGAAGAAGGGAAGAGAACACTTGCGAGCACAGCAGCCGTTTTGCAAGAGCACCGTAGTACAAGGGGTAGGTAGGTATACCCACGAGACGCGTGCATGCGATAGGCCGCATAGGGAGCAAGTCTGGAGAGTCTAGTTTAGTATATATATATATATACGTGCATACATGTGGAACCAGCCGACGAGAAGTGCTCTTGGCAGCAGCAACACCAGCCTCTAGGTGGTACCTGCTCTGCTCGCCCCACCCAAGCTCCCAGCCATCTATGCACCAACACGTATTTTTGCTACCTCTTATATTTTCTGATTTTTTCTTTTTCCTGACCGTGACGAGATTTAAAAAAAAATGGCTCGTAGACTAGACTCATCAGTCATCACAGAAAAAACCGTATATTTTTGTTCTTCTCAATCTCTTTCCTTATCGCTATTACTGTTTATTAGCAGCTGCAAACTCAAACTAAAGAACATTTACTCGTAGTACTTTTTACCTGGGGATCCCAGATTCTATGAAAACTGTAAATTGTATATTTTAATATCTCTGTGTCTTAATGAGTGTGTACAAGCAAGTCACAGTCCTAAACTCAGACCATCGAAATACATACATCAAATAAATTTTTCTTTTTTTTGTACTTATACTTTCTTTACTACATAATAAACGTCGTACAATTCTAAGCATTAAGAATAATCCCCCATGTAAACCCATTCCCCGAAAATGTTTGAAAAAAACCGCAGCGCACCGCAGTGATAAACTTTAAAGTTTCGAGTAGTGGGCTTTTTCCGGTTGATAACGTCGGGGATGCGCTAACGCTGGATCACATACGTACCCAAAGGAGCAAACGCATCTCGCAACTACCCCATATGGCTTCCACAATGTCCTGGCAAACGATCTCATGAACATTTGCACGAGTGGCTTAAAACGAGCTTTGACTACCCCCACACCCCCTCCTCTTCCTCTTCCCACTTCAATGCGGAGGACAATCGAAAGCCAGAACTACCCGAGACCTCCCATTGCTTGCCTATCCACACGGGGATTTCGTGGCCATAGCTGTACAACAAGTTGTACTGCAATAGCGACAACGAAGATTTTCCCTCGGATGGCTATACTTTCCCTTTGGCCAGAGTCGCGTTTTTGGTGTTTTAATTTGTCGGAGTTTACGCTGCACCACCTCATTCCAGTGGGAGTCACATACACGGAGAGGAGGCATACTGATAACGCACGCTTCTCCTCCTCCCAGACTTTTCTCTATTACAGCTTATGTACGTGCAGTTGCATGTATGCTCTTCATCACTCCAAGTCAGCTGGTCACAGGAAGCGGGA